AACCTTGCCAACCTCAAATTGGGATTCCGCCATATGCCCTCCGTGGTCAAAAATCATCACCACCTGTTTGGATCGTGGCCGAACTCCACGTGTATATGCGGCCCTGTATAGACAATTTTTTTAAAAACACAAACAAAAACCGCTTACGATATGATAATGATCCAATTATGCACGCACGTTTATTGTACATAAAATATAAGTGTAAGTATCAAGTTATCTAAGGTAAATACATAAAACATTTTCGACTGACCGGTGCCTCGTGACGTCCCCACAGAATGAGCTCGCCCCAGTCACTGCGGGAAATTCAAGATGCGTCCGCTGTGAAATAAAGAATTGCCATCGAGCGGCAGGAACTGAAGAACTTATCCGTTCAAAAATTTGAGTCAGGTCATAGAACGATTCACTTTCCCGAGATGGGGTACAGCTGGCGTTGGTTACAACCTAAAAGAAAGAACGTCAAAGATACGGCAACGCTCGAAAGTTCTTTTCGCCTAAATGTTTTGCGGTTAAGCTCTGCAAACATATACATTTATCTGAACTATACATTTCTTGGTAGAATCCCATGAGAAAAAAAAATAATTGGAATGAAATAAATAGGAGCGCACTGGAAGTTATGTAGTCATACCTCGGAGTTAAAGAGCGGGTCGAACGTTATGCCCACATCCTCAATATTGAGACCGCAGCAGAATTTTGGCCGCACATCGGTTCGCCTTGGTGTATGTAGCATCACATCTCGAATACCTTGTGAGCCGTCTTGTAAGGCCTGTTTATATACAATATACACGTAATTTTTGTCGAGCGTTTCAGTTTTTAGTTAGACATAATCTTACAATTATGCATTCAGAAACCGTTGGTTTATGACACAGCAACAAACCTTAGCTAATTCTCGGTGTTTCTTCTTAAGCGCTCCGTGAACCCTGGACACAATATCATCTCGGCTGAATCGTAAAGGTGTGAAAGACAACCGTTCCAAATTAGCCTGCAATTAAAAATGCATTCACTTACTTTTCTGACGCTTAGCATTATGCTAATAAAAAATAATGGTAATAATAATAGTAACATATGCTATTATTATTATTGAGGAAAAGATTAAAATATTCTATTTAAGAACAAATGTCTTATTCCTATCATACTAAAAGAATCTAATTTATTTAAAAAATATTCTTGTTTAGAAAATCACGATAATAAGAACAATAATTAATAATAATAAATACATTCTTTCCTTAGTAAATCAAATGTATTTATTAGAAGATAAAAAAGCCATATAAATATAATGCATATGTATGTATATATTTTATTTTAACACCCATTAGTTTTACGAAGGAAGAGGAAGAGTTATTTTCTGGCATCATTGCTTGTGTGCGTTAATTAACCTCTGCCCCGAAACATATATGCAACATCCAAAATCTAGCGGCACAACTGTCTTGGTTTTCTGCTCTTTTTTTATACAGGATAAAAATTATACAAAAGTAGCAACAATGAGCAAATATCTCGGACAAACAAAAAAAACACCCTACAACTTTATCGGTCGGATACTTTGGAACCTCACGACGTCATCTGGAACAAACAAACAAACAAATAGAAAAGCTGCAACACTTTTTACAGGTAAAGTACTTTACCTCAGCACATGCTCCTATTGCGAAATTGGCTGAGATAAGCTGTGCAACTCCCAACCAAGCTGTTAGTTCCTCCCTTCATTGTCTATTAAGACGCTCAATTACTTTCCAGCTCGTGTCGTTTTAAAGATTATACACCAGATGATGTACTTGTTAAGTACTTATAGATGCTGATAGGTTCACGATATGATCCCGATTGTCTTTATACTTGCACTACTGATACAATAGGTCAACTGATTATTTCTGTGTATTTGCGGCCGAGTGCTATAGATCACTTCGAACATATCATCGCTCATCAATGACTGTTGTCTCCCGGACGCAAGCCTGCTCACATGCATAACTCAACTCCCTTCATTAATATTATAAAAAATTCATGTATATCTAATGATTCGATAGACTTGTTTTCGACGATCGAGCAATCAATTTCGATCAATAGCCATTAACAAGAGTTCGATGAGCAAGAGAACTAGTGTCGACCGGAAAGAGACAACTAGCTCAACAAGTGGAGAAGGCTCGAACGAAAAAGATTTTACGGGAAGAACTACGCGCATGTTGATTGTAGGTTAGGAAACAACGTAACCTGACTAGGTCTAGGAAACGCTAAGCACACGGCGGACACAGAAAGCGTGAAGGAGGTACGACACGCGAATGTTATGACAAGACATTATATCGTCCCCACGATCGCCATCTTGTCCACACCGTTCAGGCCCATCTAGTGTCTCCAGTTTGATAACACTTTGAGGACGGTCCTTTTAAGTAACAGGCCGTGTGTGAGAGGAAGGGGGCGGAACG